GGCCCGTGGTGCCTCTGCCGACCCTCCCGGACTCCATTTTCACAGGCAGAGGCCTGCAGGATGTCAACTACGCCACACCTACCCTGGCCATGGCCACCCAGCCACACCCACTCAGTGCCCCCACTCCCAGGTCAAACACAACCCTGATGCAGCCCTCAATGAAATTGAGTTTGACACCCCCCAGTATATAGTATAGTATATATACTACAGTTTATGGACTATGTAGTATATACTACTATATACTATAGATGCAAGAACACAAAGGGGGAAATGATTACACAGTTACAAAGAATAGTGATAATTCTAGAAATCCTCCTTTAAATAGTTCCTCTACTCTGCTTCTGTTTCGTTAATAAACAGTATCAAAATTGAATGCCCCACATTAGCTATGTTTTGATAATACTGTTTCTCTTTAATAATTGAAATTGTAGGAGTGCCTATGGGTTGTCATGCTTCTCATCTCTATGCAGAAATGAGTTTGGCCTGAGCAACAACAACAACAACAAATGCTGCTTTTAACTTGCTACATCTGTTTTGCATCTGTCAGTGCAGAACAGGTAACAGTGCCTTTGTTGTTGAATCACCTTGAGCTTTTAGCTTAATATTAGAAAAAGAGAAGGGCGTAAAGCTACAGATTTTGCCAAGACACTTTTCTTTCTCTGCACTGAATGTTTTGCTTTGTTTCTCCCTTGATTTTCTTTTAACAGGGATAGGATGATGCTGCTAAAATTAGAACAGGAGATCCTGGAATTTATTAATGATAACAAGTAAGTAAGTAAGGCGGGTTGATTTATGAGTAAGAATAACTGTGGAGACCACAAGCTTTCTTGTCTTGCGATGGAAATAATCCATTTGTGGAATGTGCAGGAGCTCTATTTCCTTCTCCCCTTTTCCTCAACGTTAAGCGTTAGTACATTTGCATGTAGGACCCAGTTAGGTTTGGTATAGAGCAACTATGGAGTTTCCATTTCCTCCATTTGTTTGTTTGTATCCTGCTTTTTAGTTATTTTTACAAATAACTCTTTAAACTCTGCGTCTGTATTCGTAATAATGCCTCTGAATGTTGTAGACGTTATTCCCAGCTATACCATTCTCTGGTTCCTAATTGAACCAGCAGCGGGGTGGGGTTGGGGGGGGGGAACAAACCAGCACAACCCACAAAGTCATTTTGGTACATTTTATTTCATTTTCCCTTTCTCTAAGCAGCTTAGGATAGCTTTCAAAATTCTTGTCTCCCACCCCAGTTTATCTTTGGAATTATTCTCAATCATTTAGAAGGTGTTAGAGTTAAAAATGGGAATTTCAGCTTGGGCCCTTCCAGTCACAATTGAATGCACAAACTGCACAGAAATGCAAGGCCTCCCTTGGGGTGTGCACCGAGTCAAGAGGGCAGTACAGCCGTGCAGTCAAAAGCTATCTCCTTTCCATGGGCAGCATTTTTAGCCTTTTCACACAGCCACCTGTATTGCTACGCCTCTGAACATCTCTGTATAAATTGCAGCTCGTAGAGTTTTCTCTGAATTCAACATAATAAAAAGTTGATATAAAAACAAAGTCGGCTCATCATTAATGTCTCCCATGCTAGAAACATCTTAAATTGACTGTGCAGCTATTCATTTATTTGTCAAGGAACTTTCCAACCCTTTACAATAAAGCTATCTTAAGAGTCTATAATAAACATGTCTGCTAAGCCTCAGTGGCCTATAATCAGTGTGTGTGTGTGTGTGTGTGTGTGTGTGTGTGTGTGTGTGTGTGTGTGTT